GTTACATAGATCAAGGCCTATGTAGAGAATGGTCATCTCTAGAATATATTTATGTAACTAAATTCTTATGTAGCTGTTAATGCTATATTACTTCATTGCAGTATTAATTTAAGGACTGCCTTGTTAGTGTAGTGGTCGTAAGCGCGACTATTTATCATGTGTTTAGAATTCCGGATTGGATCTAAACCAGATATTGGGTTTTACTATTAAGAAATTCTCAGTTACAGTCCGGAGTATAGAAGTTAGCGATGTGTTACCCACGTACCTTGTGAAGCACATAAGGCCGTTGGTCTTGCGCCTGATCTCTCTCCGGTCGTGTCGGATTACTATTCCAAGTGTTTGGTAGTGTACGATTGATCTAAAAAGCGCTCCCCCTGTTTAGGAATTCCCCTTCTTTTCGGTGTAATACAGTCAGTATAGTGCATTCTTAGGTTTTTGACAAATTATCTGTAATTATCCTCTTTAATTGAAGTTGGTTGCAGGTTTTCATGGGTTCCAGTAGCCACTTAGCATCAGTCATTTTGTCACCTCAAAAATATCCTCGATATCTCAAAAACGTGCAAAATTTACTAAAACGATGAAAGTTTTATGTAGTCATTTAGGGGAATCATCATGATAGTTAATACTTCTATAGAATTCGTTTTAATAAATATGAACGCTTTTGTCTATTAGGTACTTTTTATTTAAAAACCAAAGCCAAGGTTTTCTTTGCATCCAAATGCAAATTCAGCTATTGGAAATTTCATCTATTTCTTATTTAAAATTATTCTAAAGAAAGATCACTATTGTTTTTCTTTTCTTTTCTTTTTTTTCACACAATTATTTTATAAAACATTGTACCTAGATAAATCTTTTTCAAATAAACTACGGAAAATAGCACGTTGTTTATAAATATTAGACAAAGTATAAATTTTAGTGCTTCTAGCTGGTTCTCTCTTTTACTCGTATGAAATTTGGGACTTTTAAAGAAACTCGATTAAGTATTTCGTTAAAAAGAAGACTATCTCCAGAGCGAGTGCCACTTGGGACTTAGTTTCATTTCGTTGTGTAAGACTCCTTTCAAACTAAAATTTTTAGGCTTGTACTTTCTGTTTTTTTTTTTTAATTTTGTGTTTATTCCCTAAAGGATGTCAAATCCACAAAAATTATTTACGACTTGTTTTTATAAAACTTAGCTTACCTTATTTAAAAATATTTTTAAGCAACGCTTAGGCAGATGTTTGATCAAGTTAATCCAATTACGATTTAGTGCAGGTTGCAAAATAGAAATAAAAATATAAGAAAAATGTCTTTGAATATTACTTACAAACCACAAATTTTTAAGAAAACTGGCACTGATAAAAAATCCTATGTGCACCAAAATCAAATCATTATATCGTTTGTTTTATTTATAGATTTAATTTATATGGAGTACAAAAGTTCAAAATTTTTTTTTTGAACCAAAACAAGCGTTCTATTATTTTGTTTGAGAAAAAAAAATCGTATTTTTATTTTTTCACGCTAGTTCTAGTTTTCAGGCAGTTTATTAAGTCAATTAAAACTGATAATATTATTATATATTACAGAGACAGCGTTAAGAGGAAGTTTGTTGAAATTAATCTTCGTTGTTTGGTGTAGTGGTTAAGAGTAATTAACAGTACTGTAATTGGGTAAACGCGTAGGATTTTTGCACTTTGCTATTTCAGTCATTTACAAAACTAATTTATTAGTACCATTTACAGAAGCGTATCTAAACAAATAATTCTAGATCTTTTTCCTAGTAAGTTTTAGTAGTAGTTTATAGGCCACCATTGCTACTTAGGATTACCATCAGGTGTGAATTTATTCTCCTTTTTTACCACAAATTATAAAAAAAATTAAGTCTTTTTACATAACATTATTGGGATTACGTTTCAACCAAAATATTTTTGACACGCATTATCAACTCCTATGGACATTGATTGATGTTTCCTTTTTGTCGCGTAACTCGTACTAATGGTAAGAATGGTGAATGATAAATGACATGAATGCTTTCAAGCAAGACTCAAAATGGATTTTGGAAAATCAGCAACAAGCTTAACATTCATTATGTAATGACTAACTGTCAACAGCATCAACTATAAGAAATATGTAATAAACACATAATTAACTAGAAAGTATAAGGTTAGTAAAGATTCAGCCTAACTCATCCTATAACTTAGACTAAATCACTATGGTAGAACTTCTTTCTGCCTAGGGGTTTCGTTTGGTCAGGTAGCGTCTTTTCACCTATTTGTGCCATCCAATAGCAGTGTGCTCTCTGCTATGCTGCTGCTATACTCTTGTTGTGCGTCTGAAAGTTATTGTAAGCCCATGTGATTAAAGGATTTGAGGCATTCAATTTTAGTCCTCAGAGATGATAATGTGACAATTTTAGAATACTTTACTGTTCGTTTTTCATTCTCACCTTTATAAAAATAGTGTCAAAGTTATTATAGCAGGTATTGAACTCACTTATTAAGATATACTCAATAATAATTTTTTTTTCATTCCAAACATTTTCAATACTTAGTGCTCAACTGCGGTAAAGACACTACACTACTTAAATGAGAAATCGTGGTTTATACAATTAAAAATTCTGAACCCAAATAGCACAGACTATAATGATTTGAAACAACATTTACATCATAAATGCTTTGCTCTCACCAACCCAACAGTGGTGTGATTATATGTTGTGTTTTTTGGTATCTGAGTTTAGCTATTATTAAAAAGACATTGGAATTTAATCGACACTGATACATTTATACAATACAGCGAAACCATACGTCAGTCCTTAAAACAAATGATGATGAACGATGCTGCTGCTGATCTAAATGCTACGCGAATCTGAAGGGTAGATTGTGCACCACGAAGTCAATTACTATAACACGACGACGATAAATTCAATAACTGTTTTCTAGAAATGTCATTAAGAGATTGGTCACGTTTCTATTACATAGAGTAAGGAGCTTATAAGTTTTGATTTAATTTTTTCATGTCTTAAGAATGTTGGTAAGGTACATATTAACTGATACCAACTACTAAGAAACTTAGCAAATAGAGCATGTACTGGTGTGTGTGCTCTATTTGATGATTACAATTTCGGAATTGTAATCAGCATTTTTTACGTGGTAGAGCCACGCTGCAGCTATATTAGTAGTATAGTTGTAGCATGAATGGGTCGGCTCGACCGGGGAAGGACCACGCTCTCACAGAATACCAGCGTCAAATAGCAGTTTAACACTGCTGTGTTTCGTATGGTGAGTGTAGAGAACCGGAGACCCTTTTTACTAGAAAAGAGGCATTCTATCTTAGTCCTCACGAGTGACAACGCATCTGCGTTTTGATTCGCAAACGAAGATAAATGTAGATGTCCACGGGCCACAGCATCCACTTACCATCAGGTGGACTGTGTGCTCGTTTGTCACTCGATCCTATAAAAAAAAGAGATTACAAAATTTGGATTTTTTATTTATTATTTCTCCCACACACTTGTAACAGGAGTTAGGACTTCTTTTCTAGACCTGGGCGTCGGTATAGATAAGCAGCAACCTCATGTCTATTTATGCTGCTAAATAGAAGAGCAGTGTTCTAGTTTGAAGGTTCTAGAAAGCTGGTATACTCGTAATTACAGGCTATGAGGCATTTCAACTTAACCTAAGAGATGACAAAGCAAAGATTTCTTCTGAAAGTTGGTTGCAGGTGTTCTTGGGCTGCAGCTACTTACCGTCGGAAGGTCTGTGTTATGTCGGTACTTGGATAATAAATGTGATGTGGGTTAATTTAAGTTTTCAATAAACAGTCGTTCCCAGATCTCTGCCTTTTATTGACGCATACATTACATTGGCGCAGCCGGTCTAGAAGTTCGATACTTACGTGTAATTTTATTTGACATAATGCCGATTGGAAAAATAGAACCTTTTAATATCGAAAGCCAAAATTGGGACAGTTACATTCGTCGCGTAAAACAATTTATATTGTTAAATAGTATCGATGACAAGCTAAAAGTAGCTACGCTTTTGACGTTAGTGGGTTCCGAGTGCTATAACCTTATTTGTGATTTGTGTTCACCCACGGAACCGGAAACAAAGAAGTTCGAAGAATTGGTTACACTTGTAAAAAATCATTTGGAGCCGGAGAGATCTGAAATAGCGGAGCGACACATTTTTCGGCAGCGGACGCAACAGCAGGGAGAAAGTATCCGTGTTTACCTACATGGCCTAAAACACTTGGCTAAAACCTGCAACTTCGGTAATACTCTGGAAGAAAACCTTCGCGATCAGTTCGTGTCGGGTTTATACAGCGAAGAGATGCGGTCAAGATTGTTTGCCGAAAAGAGTATAAACTACAAAAGAGCTGTGGAGTTGGCCACGGCGCTCGAGGCAGCTGAGCGGCATGCGAGCACGGCATGCGCATCGGGCGGCGCGAGCGCTGGCGGAGCTGGCGGGACCGGCGCAGCGGCGGCCGGCGGCGAGGGCGGCCTGCACCGGTTCGGCAGCGGCGGAGCGCGCGCACGATCTGCTGCGGCTCCCGTGCCTATGACGGTGACGTCACAGCGTCGGCTTTGTGCGCGTTGCGGTAAGACCGGTCACATAGCCGGTAAGTGTCGTTTTAAAAATTACACATGTGATGCGTGTGGCCAGAAGGGCCATTTAAAAGTAATGTGTCAAGGTAAAAGTAAACTTAAGAGTGCAAAGGAGAACAAAGGTCAGTACTTTTTAAATGATTCGGACTCAAATGATGACTGTAATTTTTTTAACTTGATTACAAGTAATGACGGTGACGGACCGTACTATGCGAATTTAGTAGTAGAAAAAGTGCCATGTAAATTTGAAATTGACACGGGCAGTAAAATATCGGCTATTTCGAAACATTTTTATGATAAACATTTTAAACATGTACCTATTCAAACTAAGTTGTTATGTCTGAGATCATATACTGGCGACGTTATCGAGACCATCGGTTATATTGTGGTAATGGTTATCTGTGGTTCAAAGTCCGCGATGCTTAAGTTATTTATTATTGAAAACGGCGGTCCACCTTTAATGGGCCGTACGTGGATTAAGAAATTGAAAATAGAAATTGTTGAATGTCACAATATTAGCGACTCGGAGTCGGTAGCAAAAGCTTTGAGAGACGAATTCCCTGAAGTGTTTGCAGAAGGTTTAGGTACATTCAAGTCACCTGTATCGCTGCACCTCAAGGTTGAAACTCCTGTGTTTGTGAAAGCGCGGCCGCTGCCATTGGCACTGCGCCCGCGAGTCGAAAGCGAACTCAAACGATTAGAATACGAAGGGGTTATTTACAAAGTCGAAAGGTCAGAATACGGTACGCCTATTGTCCCTGTTCTTAAGTCCAATGGCTCAATCAGGATATGTGGGGATTATAAAATAACCATAAATCCGATTTTAAAAGATTTTCATTATCCTTTACCGCGGATTGAAGAACTTTTTGAGACCTTGGGGGGCGGCGAACAGTACACAAAGCTTGATTTATCAAATGCGTTCCAACAATGTTTATTGGATAAAAAATCACAGCCGCTGACAGCAATTACCACTCATATAGGGACGTTCATTTACAAAAGAGTACCTTTTGGAATAAAATGTATTCCTGAAAATTTTCAAAAGATTATGGAGGAAACATTGAGTGGTTTGCCTTCAACGGCTGTATTTGCAGATGACATATGTGTAACTGGAAAGGATAAAACTACCCATTTAGCAAATTTGAGAGCAGTGTTAGAAAGGTTAAAACAAAATGGATTAAGAATTAATTTTAATAAATGTCAATTCTTTCAGGATTGTGTAACGTATTTAGGGTATAAAATTGATAAGGACGGCTTGCATACAGATTCTAACAAAATTAAAGAGATTATGGCAGCCCCCTCTCCAACAAATGTAACTCAATTAAAAAGTTTTATGGGCCTTGTTAATTTTTACTCAAAGTTTTGTTCAAATATAAGTGAGATAATGAAACCGTTGTACAACTTATTACAAAAAAATGTTAAATGGCAATGGAATGATGAGTGTGAGGTTGCTTTTTGTCGAATGAAAAAAGTATTGAGCAGTGCACCAGTATTGGCACACTACGATCCTACTCTGCCGTTGGTGTTATCAGTGGACAGCAGCGCATACGGACTGGGCGCCGTGCTCGCTCAGCGGTACGCAGACGGCAGTGAGCGACCCGTGTGCTGCGCGTCGCGTACACTTAACGCCGCCGAGCAAAATTACTCGCAGCTGGACAAGGAGGCACTCGCAATTGTGTTCGGTGTGCGCAAGCACCACCAATATTTATACGGGCGACAGTTTATTTTACGTAGTGATCATCGTCCATTGAGTTACATCTTAGGGCCGAATAAAGGAATACCTGTGACAGCCGCAAGTAGACTACAGCGTTATGCCGTTCAGCTATCTGCTTATAATTTTAAAATCGAATTTATTAAATCAGTTCAAAATTGTCACGCCGATGCGCTTTCTCGTCTTCCTTTGAATCCTACTAGAAACAGAGTCAAATGTGAGGACAGCGACTGTAGTTACCTTAATTTTGTGCAAGAAAATTTTCCACTTAGTTTTAAAGACATTAAAATTGAGACGGCAAAAGATTCTTTATTGAGTAAAATATATGGTTACGTAATGTTCGGGTGGCCAAAAACTAGTAATATTGAAACTGAAAAAGCATATTTTAATCGTAAGGAAAATATTTGTGTGGATCAAGGTTGCCTAATTTGGGATTACCGGGTAATAATTCCCAAATCATTACGATTGTCAATTTTGAAAGAAATTCACGACGGCCACCCAGGCATCGTAAAAATGAAGCAAATAGCGCGAAATTATGTCTGGTGGGAAACATTAGACGTTGATATCGAGCGAACAGTACAGGAATGCGTCGCATGCCGGTCGCAGCGCTCAGCTCCGGCCCCGGCTCCCCTGCACTCCTGGCCGTGGCCGGAGGAACCATGGGCTCGATTAAATTTAGACTTTTTAGGGCCATTTAATAACAAGTATTATTTAGTTATTGTCGATGCTTATACAAAATGGATCGAGGTTGACCATGTTTCTGGTACGTCCGCTGCGGTGGTAATAGATTGTTTACGAAAAAAATTTGCGCGTTTTGGCTTACCTAAAAGAATTGTTAGCGACAATGGACCACCTTTCTCCTCGGCAGAATTTAAAAAATATTTGGACATTAACGGTATTCGCCATACCCTAGTTGCACCATATCACCCATCGAGCAATGGGCGGCTGAAAATGCCGTGAAAATGATTAAGAGGGCATTAAAAAAGGCCCAAGTTGATAATGAAAATGTTAATACGGCACTCAGTAAATTTCTTTTCTCATATAGAAACACTGAACATAGTACCACTGGGTGCGAGCCCGCAATGCTTATGTTCGGACGACGGTTGCGTGGTCGACTGGACCTGCTGCGGCCTGACACACGAGACTTGGTGCGACAGCGGCAGGAGATTAGTGAGCAGCGACGGGACACCGCTCTGCGGGCGGCTGAGCCCCAAGATTCCGTGCTATTACGGGACTATTCTCAAAACCGGGGAAAGTGGACTGAAGGGACGGTGGTACGTCGAGAAAGTCCAGTTTCTTATACAGTAAAGTCTCAAGATGGTCGTGTACACAAGAGACACATTGATCAAATCTTAACAACTAAACATCCAAAGTCTCGATTTTCATTGTCAAAGGTGGAAGAGGAGGCGTATGACATAACTGATACAGAGTCAATGGCGAAGCCTGACACTGATCAGGACGATCAAGTCGCAGAAGAATGGCAACTGGCACAGGAGTCGCCTCCCTCGAGAACCGTGTCTGAAAGACGTGACGACAACACCAACAGACAACAAGCGACGACACCGAAGAATCGTGTATATAGAAAGGCTGCATTACGCTGCATTGACAAATTAAAAGAGATGTAAAGATATTTTATGGTTTGTTTTCATACATCACACTCATCATTGCACAGCTACTAATAAGGAGTGAAACACATGTTGCAACTATCGATGTTTAATATAGATAGATATAAATATAAGTTTATCTGATGTATTATATTGGCATCTCGTTCATATAAATATGTATAGATATATATTATATAACTAGTTACTGTACCATCATTCATCAACCATGCTCAGTGAATTTAATGGTGTTTCCTTTACACATTGTGTATTGATATTGTAGTTTATTAATATGTACTTAAAAAGGGCATGTCTTTCGTTTGTTTGAGTTAGATTGTTTAAAATATAGGGGGGAAGTGTTATGTCGGTACTTGGATAATAAATGTGATGTGGGTTAATTTAAGTTTTCAATAAACAGTCGTTCCCAGATCTCTGCCTTTTATTGACGCATACATTACAGTCTGTAACTTTGTTTATTACTTCATTTGACTAAAAATAAAATTTATGCTTATTATAAAATAAAATTGTTTTTATAAAATACTAACGTTTCAATACACACAATGTTTTTGGGAATAGATGTGAAGTTGTGAAGACTTACAGAATCGCGTATTTAATAGAAACAGAGTATCGGATTTTCATGAGAAACGTGATTGGAATTATATTGCTTTGCTCGCTTATGGAAAATACCTTGGAGCATTTGTGAAATAATTTATTGGTTGGAATTTTTGTTATAAATATTCATATTTTGTATATTTTATATCTTTTTATAGAATAAGGATGACAAACGAGTACACAGTGCACATGATAGTTAGTGGATGCTGTGGCCCATAGACATCGATATTTAGCCTCGACTGAGAAACAAAATGCAGATGCATTGTCACCACTGAGGACTAAGATTGAATCCTCGTTTCCAGTAAAATGTTCTTTACACTCGTCGTACGAAAGACAGCCGTATTAAGCTGCTACTTTACATTAGTATTATGTGAGAGCGTATAAAACGTCGTAGAGCCACGCTGCAGCTATGTTACGGTTATAGCACGAATTGATCGGCTCGACCACGTCTGTGATAAAATATATGTATATCAACAAGAAAACTGTAATCAATTTTCTTAGATATTGTTATTTATGTCAAATTTCTATAAATATTATTTCTTATACAAATCTTTGAATTCGTATATTTATGTACGTAAGTAAACACTCTTTTCATCGATTTACCTGTATGCCTCCTGGTATGAATGATGTTTCCTCATCTCTACCATATATACATCGCAGAATCAAACGTGGATCATCCTCAGCATTGTAGCTACGCTTCCTCACAACATCTCTTGATATTCCTTATTTTTGCTGCTGATATTTATACGGGACCACAGCTTAACATGACTGCAGCGGTATAAGTAGCAACGGCCTAGACAAGGCGGTATTTCCATACAAATAATTGTAAATATTTTGGCCGTAAAAGTTTTTTTTCTTTCTTTTCTTTTTTAAAAAACGTTACCCCCACACTAGGATTTTCTCCTGTGTCGTGGAAGCAGTTTACAAACATAAATTTCACAAGGACAAACATCCGGAACAATTATTTGTAGGTCATACAAATACTTGTTCCGTGCGGGATTCGAACCCGCGGCCCCCAGCGCAACAACTGATTGCTAAGCCACTGCGCCACGGAGCAAAAGTATTCCTATGTTCATCAATTCGGGTTATTGTGTTTAGTAAAAAGTTAAAATGGCGTAGGATCTAGATGATCCAAGAGAAATGTAAACAACTTTATTACTAAACTTCGTTCATTAGAGTTGTTTTGAAGCCTTTATTTAGGCATGACCCATTGGTTAACTTTGTAGTTAATCAGACTTAGTTGCTACAACTCCTACGGGATTTTTTTCATTATTTTATTACAGCCTAGCGATTGGTAGCACAGGCGAGCCGTTAGCTCAGTGAGTAAGCGCTCGTTTTAAAATTCACAGTACGCAAGTAACCTGGGTTCGATCACCATCGGCACCAATGACATTGTTAATTCCAATTTTATGTGATGACTAGCTGTGCCCCGCGGTTTCACCCGCGTATATCACGCATCTGCGCCTTGCGACATGCGAACTTCGAGAGAGATATCACGACGGACGGTTGCTGAATTAACAAAGATTTAAAAAGTGAAATATGTTACTTAAATTACATGGTTAACGTAATTGGTGGTTATGCATGATAAAGGTACTGATATGAATAATGTCAAGGCCACATTATTCGTATCAGTACGTACTCGTATTAGTAGTATTTGTACCGGCGTTACTATTTCACATTTTAACATGAAAAAGTAGTTATTGTGACATAACTGTAATAGTTAAACATATGGTATCGCAGACTTTTTTGTAGAGATTAATATCCTCTATAAAAGTGAAGTACATTACTTTGCTATATTATCAATAGTTTCCGAAGCGTACGCGATATAAGGATTCTTTTTGGTATTTTTTTTCACACCTTGGGTTACATTAACGAAGTTTTCATACGGATCCCTAACCTTTTTGAGAATATTACATAGCCTATGTTCATCAGGGATAATGTAGGATTCTAATGGTGAAAGAATTTTTCAAATCGGTCCAGTAGTTTCGGAGCCTATTCAATTCAAACAAACAAACAAATCTTTCCTCTTTATAATAGTAGTGTAGATGTAGAAGTGTAGAAGTGTAGATGCATGATACAGGTACTGATACGAATAATGTCTAGGCCACATTATTCGTATCAGTACGTACTCGTATTAGTAGTATTTGTACCGGCGTTACTATTACACATTTAAACATGAAAAAGTATCCTCCATAAAAGTAAAGTACATTATTTTGCTCTATTATCAATAGTTTCCGAAACGTACGCGATATAATGATTCTTTTTGGTATTTTTTCACACCTTGGGTTACATTAACGAAGTTTTCATACGGATCCCTAACTTTTTTGAAAATATTACATAGCCTATGTTCATCAAGGATAATGTAGGATTCTAATGGTGAAAGATTATTTCAAATCGGTCCAGTAGTTTCGGAGCCTATTCAATTCAAACAAACAAACAAATCTTTCCTCTTTATAATAGTAGTGTAGATTTACTACATGCATCAGAGAAAACATCAAAAGGAAAGCTTCATGAGTGAAAAACTAAAAAAATATATTTCAAAGATATGTGAATTCCATAACACGCATTATGGCAGCGCGGTTGGCACTTCATTGCCCTAAAACCCTCTCGGAAATTAGAAGCCCAGGAGTGGGACGTATACACATAGGCTGTAACTTTACTTTTTACATGACTATCAAAAGTCCATCGCTTAACATACGCCCATAGATTGCCTCATATTAGTATTTTCCATACCTAGTTACTACAAATTATACCATACATAGTTACCACACATGGCAGACGGATCTCCAATCGCAGCTTTTCGTTATTATTTGTCATCTCTTATTTCATTTCTCTCCAGCCTACACAAGTCTATTGATGATCATAGGCCTCCCCCACAGATGGCCTCATAGGGTTTGCGAGGTTTTGACAATGTTGACAAATTGACAAGTCTGCCCATCTCGTCTTTCATTTTCGCACTGTCGCCTTCTATGACACCCACGAGACGACGTGGGTTAAAGTGAATTAGAGCATCGTATATAACTGTTTCCCGCGTCGGAATCTTGTTTAAATGAAGGAAGGCCTTGTGCCCAGCCGTGTGACATTTATGGCTACTTATTTTTTTTGTATTATAACTCTTATCCTCAACACTTATTAATTTGTTATATAACTTATTACTATTCAATACTATTTTAAAATACACACATAATAAAATGAAATTAATGAAATAAAAAGTTTTACAATAAAACGTTCTTTTAGCCTTCTTAAAATTAATATTATAAATAGTAATCTCATCTTATATCAAACCTAAAATAATGCTAATATCTTATTTTACAAGGTAATACTTTCAGTTTGAAATTTATCAAACATTCACCAATCTGTAAGTCTATTTATTTCTTATTAACATTTGTTTGCATAGAATAAAGGTGAAAAAGGAACACAAAGTACAACTGATGATAAATGGATACTGTAGCCCACAGACATCTACATCTATCCTCGATTAAGAATCAAAATTAGATCGTCATTGAAGAAGTGGATCGTTTCCAGTAAATAGGGTCACCGGTACTATACACTCGCTAATCGAAGCTTAACACCTAACTGCTATTTCACACTGGTATTTTGTTAGAGCGTGGTTCTTCGCCGGTCGAGCCGATAGATTAATCCTAAAACTATAATATAGCCGCAGCGTGACTCTACCTCGCATGGCTCCATCGTGCCTTCGACTAATCTGGTATCTATAGATCCTTATCAACAGCAGCGATCACTTACATGGTAAGTCCATGAAATAAGCCACATTCTCCTTTTGGAGCAAAAAAATCTGTAAAGAAAATTATGATAAATAAATTGTTAAAAATTAGCAACATTATATGTTTTCAAATAATTATATATAACCTTAAAATTATAGCTGTCTGAAAAATTAAAGAAAGTAATATGTTTCGTAAAATGAAACAAACATTTACAATTTTTTTTTGTTGAAAGGAAATGGATAAGTCTTTCGGACTCCTTTTCATAACGCTAGCCCTTAATATATAACAAAGATTTGTTACTACCGTTATATTTGCAGAATTTTTATCTTGCAAATATCTCTTCTGATAAAAAAAAGAAAATCTAATTTTGAAGAGAACTTCCAAAATGAATTGTTTAACACTACATGGTATATAATTACTTGCACGCGATGTGACCTGTTGATAAGGCAATTTTAAGAGCAAAACAATAATTTAATAAACACATTATAGGCATGCCTCATATTTTTCTGTCGACTTCCAAAAAGGAGACGGTACTCAATTCGACTGTATGTTTTTTTATGTATACCTCATAACTTTTTACTGGGTGAACCGATATGGATAATTATTTTTTTATTTGAAAGCTGGTACTTTTCGTGTGGTCCCATATGAATTTCATCAAGGTCAGACCAATAGTTTTTGAGTTATTCT